TCGCAGGAGGTGCAATAGATAGACAGACAAAACCCACATCCAACACTAAACGGAACACATTTCTGGCACAAAAAATATTCATGAAAGTATGAAAGTAAAGTACTAATAAATAACAATATTTCTAATATGTAATGTGCAAAATATACAGTATAGAAAACATGCAGTGTGAAGAAATGTGGAAAAATCTATGATGTAAAGAAAGAAGTTATTTTCATATCAATATAACATAAAATAGAAAAATAACTATTTAAAAATTAGGAACAGTCTCAGATTATTTGCAACATCTGTATAGAAATAAATATGTGTTTCTGTAAATTACACAATTATAGTGTAAAGAAAAGAAAAGTGAACACATTATGCTAAAACGGCTGCTGCTTGACACAAAAAAGAAATTTCCCATGACTAATCTACAAGAGAAGACTGTTATAATATCTTTCACTAAGATTAAGATTTTAATTTTTGTTTCCATGCAGGATCCACTTGTGCTCAGAAAAAAGTAGCAAGGACGGGCAGAGAAACACTTAAAAGACAGCAGCATCCATTATAAGGAAATATTTCAGCTGCAGAAAGGATGATGTTGACTAAAAACAGGTATTTTTGTGTTTTGACTGTTTAAATCAACACTGCAAACCTCTGTGTGATGAGTGTAAAGCCACATCTGGATGCCACACAAAGCAAAATATGTCGTTTCACCACACAAGAAGGGTCACAAACTGAAAATACCTGCATGTTTTCAGCAATACTAAATATCATCAAGTGTTTCTGATATCGCTCAGCTCTAGTACAAATGACCATCAGTGTTATTCAGTCTTTACAAACCTCATGACTGTTGAAAAGTACCGCTGAGGAGACAAACACAAAGAGGTTTGTGTTGACGATCTCTTCCAAGCAGTACTGATCGTCCTTGTGGCTTGTTAGCGGCTGCTTTTAACATGTTTATTTTTAGCTTTCGTCTTGAAGCACTGAGGTATTCTAAAAAACCATCGTGTTCTCAGGATTGTGATGGTGCACTGAAAAATGAGAATTTATCTGTTTCGGTGAAGTCAGTGGAACGTGATCTATCTTTGCAATTATGGAATAAATTAGCACCTCTGTGCAACTCAAACGAACACCTCAGAGTAACGAATTCCTTCAGCAGTTTGGAAGTTAACTCACTCAGCGCTAACGGCTAGTTTAGCCAATCACAGGCAGACACAGAGCAGGTGGAGGAGGATCAGAGACAAGGATGGAGAATCTCAACAAGTAAGGTCAGCTGTGATACTGAGCTAAACGGTGACACCTAGTGGTCTGGAAGAGTAACTACAGTCTGGTCAGATTTGCATCCAGGAGGATGAATGATGGCAAATTCTGACTTTTATTCTCACGTATCAATTTTCTTTCAGGAGACAATGGCAGCCGTTTATGACTGTTCCTACAATCACAGTAGTAAAATTAATCTAAGCGACACCAGAAAGTAACATTAAAATGAAAGTGTTGGAGAAGACAAGACGAGGCGTCGCTTTATTTTTAAATGATGAGCTCTGCTTTCTAAGGAGGACGTACACTTGGAGGATCTATATGAAGAAGATGTGACTCAAACACTGTGAGATGGAATCTGTTTGACTTCAGTCGGACTGCTGAGGAAGCAGCTCGTCTGACAGATATCCCACCTCATCGAGCTGGTGAGAAGATGACTAACAACAGTTCTGACCCAAATGAGAAACGATAGCTCAGTGAGAGCTCCTATAATTAGCTGATGTGCTGAGTCACTCAGTCGCATGTACGCGTCCTGATCACAAAGACCTGGAGGCTGGCTTCCAAAAATGTCTTCGTTTTCATCATAATAACCATCGTTGTGTTCATTAGTCCAAAGCTGCCGGTGGGAATAATGTGCAAACTATATAGTTCTCTGCTGATGTGAGCCACATGTCTCAGTAACAGAGAATGACTCAGAGCAAATAATAATAAAGCAGCAATTAGGTGTCTGCTTTAATAATTAGTATGTTGTAGGGTTTACTGTGCAGTTTTGTTCCTTCTGTTTTCACAGTGATATCTTTTATTAAAATTAAAACCTGACACTGGGTATGAAATAACTGCAAATATGTAAATAATAAAATATATTGAGTACAAGTAATTCAAGTTAAACAGAACGTCAAGACGGATTTGAGTCTAAAATTAATCAAGCTAACTCTGAACAGAGAGCTAAGCTGTCATGATCATCGATATAATACTACAAACCAATGAGATGGGAGCAATCTGCTGAAAATTAACTGTTAATTTCTTGTTCTTTTTGGTATTTGCTTGATGCCTTCTTAGCTGGAATTTCCCAGTAAAACATTCTTGTAACTTAGTTTGAAAGAAGCTTCATTTGCCAGAAATTTGTATCAAATCTGTCCTACTTAGGATAGTCGGGAGCTAAACACCTCTGCAACAGATACACACAAAGTCTACAAGTGACAACTAGGCCATCGTCTACCTTTATGAAACTCGCTCAGAAGACTCTGAATTCTAATATATTATCAATATTGTCATGTTGCACGACAAAACAAAGAAGAACCGACCAACAGAACATAGAGTACGATCAGTAACAGTCGTCTAACTACCAGCACCGCAGGGACACAGAGCTCATGTGACTAGAGTTTCTCACTGCAGCTCTAATATAAAACTGTCGTCATCCTAAACTCAGTGAACTCCTGAAACCATTTGCTGCTCTGCGGGCCAATCCCCGTCTCTTATTTTTTAAATATTTTATCCTTCATTTCTTTGGTCAAGAGCTCCTGCAGCTTGTTTCCATCCTCCGTTCTGTCCATCATTCCTGCTGGTCCTCATCCCTCCTCCCGCATCCCTTCATCTCTGCCTCTAACTCGCTCGGTAACACGATGTTCTGCTGATTCATGCCCGCTGAAGCAGTTGCCAGGGTGTCAGGCACTACTGTTTCCATAGCAACCGGCTGGCAGCGTCTCCTCGCTCAGGGTCGCGTCACAGCACAGTCTGCTGGTCGCCCGCGGCAACTGCAGCTGGTTCACGACCCCGTTTGATATTAATGAGACGAAACAAAGCTGTCCGTCCGTGTAATGAAAACTCAGACTGAAAACGAGGAAACGCTGATGTGAAAGTCTCCACATTCATTTATTTTCATGTCGAGCAGAGACACCATGCAAGACCTGCAGCTGTGGTTCAACAGAGTGCGTCTGCAGGCTGCACTGATGCAGGAACATTTGGTGGAAATTATTCCACATCAGGAATGAGACAGAAAGAAGCTGCTCAGACGACGGACTGTCGAGACTAAACAAGCTGCTCTTTAACAAACATTTATTTCTAACTTCCATTGTTTAATTTAACAACACAGTCTTCAGACATTTCTTTTCATTTTTGACTTTTTGGCAACAATGAACACAATGTTCTGGACAAATCCTGGAGTCTGAGACCTGTTTAGCTTTTGTCCTCATTTGTGAAGCATGTGTGAAATCTGCTTTAGAATGCAGAAAATAATCAAAATTAGCCAGGGCCTAACTCACATAGTAGATGCAGATGGTGCAGACACCAATACACATTTCTTGGAAGTAAAGAAACGTGACACACAGATATAAATATATATATATAAGGGCTTGCAATACATGCTGTCTTTTTTTTCTTTTGAACAGTCAATGCTATTCAGATCTTCCACCATTTGATAAAATACTTCCAGATTTTGTTGTATTAGCCTTTATATCAACTGACTCCACACCACCATCTGCTAAGCTGTGATGTGCTCTGCTGCATGTGCTGCAGACATTATTATAAACAACGGAGTCAGAGCTGCTCTGCTGGATAAACTATGTGAGGACACAGTTTCTAAATTACCCTAAGAATCTTTTTCTGCATTATGTTGTTAAAAAAATAACAGACTCACATATCTAATAACTTGAACCTACAAGCAGCATAGAGCTGGAGTTAGTTTACAGCAGCTATGAAGTAAACTGTAGCTTTGAAGCTGCCTTCATTGAGTTTACAGTGAAGGAGCACAAGCAGCCAACATGCATTTTAAATGGGACAGTTTCTTTTCTTTTTTTTTTAAATGTTGTAATGTTTTTAAATGTTGTAATAGTTTTTAAATGCGTTGTTGTTTTTAAATGTTGTAAAGCACTTTGCATTATTGTTGCACATGAAAAGCGCTATACAAATAAAATTTGATTGATTTGATTGATATAAAAACACTGTATGTCTGACACAAATCCAGGATAAAGGCTCAGATGAAAGCCTGAACATGACGTCCCTTGTGCTGCTTCATGCTGCCAAACTGTCAGACTGAAGCCAGACTGTGTCCTCGTGGTTTGTTGAAGAGGACGACCTCCAGCAAGGGACTCACACGAAGGTCAACAACACAATTAAATCACATATACATGCACATGAATGCCTCAGAGTCCCACGATATTCTATATTCATATAAAATCTTGCAACAAGTGCAACCGCAACAGCCTGTTTAACTACTAAAGGAAAGTCATACTAAACACCACATACTTCACAATGATCTGTTCATAGCCAGCAGCTATCTGTAAATTCCCACAGTGAAGTAAACCAACATATCAGCAGGAAGCCCTAAAGACTCTAATACCCAGAACCCATCTCACTGAGATTCCACAAAAGAGCTCTTTGACTTCCAGCCTCTTCTGTTGCATAAGTTACTGCCGCTTTGCCAGAACACACTCACACAGGAGCAGCTAAGCTCATCATGGCAGCGATATAAACTCTAATCCTGACAGCTGGACCCAACACACACAGCAACACAGAAATAATATCCACAATTTGTTTCCATCTTATCCATTTAAAATCCAGATTGAATCACCAGTAATGACACGAGCCATAATTCAATTATTATGTAATCAATTAGTGGTGTTAGTTCGTTATGGACTTTCGCTGCCCATTAAGTTTCTCTAACGCAGAATTACAGGAACATGTGTGGGCAGGTTTGAGTGCACCAGCAATTAATCAGATCCAACCCAGCGATTACACAGAGCCAGAAGCTGCACGAGAGCACCGACCTGGAAGTGAAGGATGATGGTCCAGATGAGTCCTAACGTCAGTTTTGGGTTCCCGTCTGTGATGTCATCGTTCCTGATGTTCACAAGTTTGACCTGAGAACGAGAGAACAGGTGAGAATGTGGTGGTTCAGGCTTATCTGCTCATAACAGTGAGCTGATTAAAGAAAGAAAACACACACAGTAAGGATTTCAAATGATCTCTGCTTTGACAATCACTGGAAGAAACTCTTTGTAAAATCATGTAGCTGCACCTAAAAACTTCCCACAAGGGATTTAGATAAATCTTTTAAGTTGCAAATATTATTTTGCTGAGTTGACTGTAAAGCAAAAGCTGATTCCTCTAACTCAGTGTAGTTTGTTGATTGAATAGAATTTCATAACAAGTTGTCATAACTCAGAAATATTGCTGCAAACTGTTGCTTGAGCTTTATATTTTAGCGTGCAGGCTGTATAATTAGACCTGCAGTGAAACTAAGAAAAGACTGATATGAAGAAAAGGTCAGTCATCAAGTCTCCTGGGAACAAGACAAGAGCAGGATGTGGATTAAGGAGGACGGGGACGAGTCAGGTATGAAGGAAGAAGGTGTCTGAAGAATCAATTTAAGGTAGCAGAACAGGTAATGATGAAAAGTGCAGACATGGAGAAGAGTTAATAATTCATCAGATACTTCATGATGAAATGCAGCCCTGCGTATCCTGAATGGACTAAGATTCAACTATTGGTGTTTGATAGTTCCTATAATCAGCGTTTTTTCAGCACACAGGAATTTATGGCAAACCCAAAAGACATTTTCATCAGCAAACACAACAGTAGGACCTGAACATTTTTTACAAATATACATTTTCGGACCATTTTTTTTCCTGGGATTTAATTTACTCAAGCTCAATAGACATTTTTATTTAATGAATAACAGGAATATGCATAGATTTCTGTCAAATAAGTTTACACAGACTTATTGCCTCTACTGTGCCAGACAAAGTCAAAACCCAAAGACCTTTTCTGAGCAGAAAAAACCTGTTATACAAACAGATTCTGTGAAACGCGTGGTACATATGTAGACTAGGAAGTACTTTAAAAGGTTAATGCAGCTCTTCTCTGCACTAACAGACCATCTGACACAAGAAACTGACTGATCCCAGGGGAAAGGCATTTACAATCACTTGCTTTTGCAAACTGCAGAATCTGCTGCAGAGGACTGCAGGTAAAGACTAAACATGAGGGTTTGGAGAAGCTGTTTGAAGCTTGAAAATACACAAATTATCACAGTGAGAAAAATAAGAGTTTCTTATCCAGAGAGAAATATGAGGTTCTTACATAACAGCATCAGCAGTGTAAACAATGTGTACACCAGACAAACTAAATGATGACAAAGAGCAGAGAAAGTTTAGTTTTGCTTGAATTCAACGGGATTTGTTTTGACACCTCTGACTCATCTTCCATGATTATAGTTTATAATAAAAACTATAAACTGTTTGCTCAACTAACAAGCTTTTGTGAGGAAAAAAAGTGACTTTTGTTTAGAGGCTCATGTTTGCTGTCAACTTAGAAATGCAATTCAGTTCATGTCAATCAAAAAACAATGCAGCAAGGAAGATGTGTGTGTGATGTCTCACACACACAAACATTCCATTTGCATTTTTTTGCACGTGTGAACATAATCACAAGTGTCATTAAATAAATGTGTGTACTTTAATGTACTCACATCCCTGTTTCATCATATATACGTCACTTACTGTTTATAGTTTACACCAGCCTGTATTAAAGCATATGATGAGACTTTTTATGATTCCAAAGAGTGAATAAAGATGCAGAGAAACCATATTATTATTATTATTATTCTCATTACCTGTCTCTGTTTGAGGAAGTCCAGCGCTATCTGGACATTCTGCAGTCGATGAAATCTCATTCGCCCCTTTTCTCTGGGCTGAAACACAAGAGAGAGAAAAAAATTATCAAGAGAGTCAACAAAGGAAATTAAATTGGGTGTTTTTTTTAACACACAAAGGCAGAAGGCAGCAGTGAGTGCAGATAAAGCAGATTTTAATCAACAGTGCAGTGGAGTCAAAACCCAGCAGGTATATAGACATGAAATGATCCTCTGGGGGGCGCTGTCTTCAACTGCTGTTAAAGACAGGCCAAAACCAGACTCAAACCATGCTGCCTTAGCATGAAGAATGCAAACTTCATCGCATTGTGTTTCTTTAATTCGTTATTCATCGCCTGAATTTCACAAACAAGCATCCAGTTTGAGGTTTGAAGGGAGAAATGAAGACGTTTAGGAGAAAGAAAGAGAGAAAATCACACAAACAAACACACTTCTGCTGCAGGGAGGAGATGAGTAAAGTGCAGGATGCAGATGTGGGTTCACACTGTGCTGCTAGAGAGAAGGTTCACTCAGGATTAGTCGTCACATCAGACTCAGATTATTTACGTGAATATTAGGGCTGCACAATATTGGATTGGCGACAGACACATTGGTGACCTGTGACGTACATTTTAGCAATTTTACGAAAGCGCTATGCACTTTTAACCTTTATCTAAACTTTATTTAAATCATTTTACATAACTTGTCAACTTGTCTCATCTGGGGTGACATCTTTTAAGAATTTACTTCAAGATAATTAAAGTTCTGTCTTATTTCATTTTTAATTTTGGCTGCTGTAATCCTTCCTGACATCAATAATCTCTCTGGTTAAAACATGAATATTTGCAGAGAATAAAAGCTTTCTGTTCGACTGAAACTAACATGTTATTATGCTGATATTGATCATGGTGTCCTGGACAGAAAACACAACGCTTTTTAAATGAACACACTCACTGGTCAAAACAAGGAAACTCCCTAAACTTGCATGTAAAACATTAAAGATGCACTTTAAGGTGAAACTTAACAAAACCATAAACTTTTAGCCTGACAGGTTTCTTATCAAAGTTCATTTTGAACGATGCTGATATTTAATTTAAAGACAACACTTATGATAATGTCAATATCATTGTGCATCTTAACATTTCCTATGAGTGCAAACAAGTCAAAAATAATAAACCAATGTGATTAAAACTGTACAGCTGTAGTGTTGGTTTTCAGCTCCTCTCCTCTAATGCTTTATTCACTCGTCACTGCTCGACTGATGCGTTACTCCCTAATTAATATTTTACAAACAAGTGAAGTTGCACTCTTTGACAGTGTAATAATCTCAGTCTAGACTATTGAAAGTTCTACTCTTCAGATTAAAAAAACAAAACAAAAAAACAGTTTTATAAACAAAACTTGCTAATGCAGGTCAAACTGCTAGAAGATAAATAAATCGGCTCCATCCTGTTGCGTGTAATTCATGCAAAACAGCAGAGCTCTGTTGAGTGAAAACATTTCTTCGTAATGCTAAGTTTGCAAACACTAAACAAACAGCTTAATGGCTGTATTTATTCGACGTTTGTCTTCCATCTGTCAACTCATACAGGAGAAAATAATGATTAAAATAAGATGCTGTCACCCAACAGAAACGATGGACCGCATGTGGTGTCATTCAGTCATGGTACTGTGCCATGTACAGCCGGGGTTGTTGGTCAGTGTCACAGCACTCATGCAGCCTCACGGCTCCACCTGGGGGGGTGGAGGTGAAGCTGAGGGGGGTCAGAGGTGACAGAGTGAGAGGTGGAGGGGAAACATACTCCCTGAGCTCCTTCCTCCTCCTCATCCTCCCCTCCCAGCAGGATGAGAGGGGGGGCCCGCGAGGCGTATGGCCTTTTCAATGAGGGGCCGCTCTTCTGTTGCTACGGTAACAGAAGGGTGGAGATGCACAGAAAAGACAAGAGAGAGGAAGAAGAGATGTCGTATGAGAATTGTCGGATACGGGGACAGAATGAGGGAGAGAAGGAGCAAATTGAAAACAGACAAAAGTAAACGAAACAACAAATTAAAGGATGACTGTAAATGAACCAACACTGATGAGAAAAACTCAGAAAAAGAGAAACCTGAACACTGACATGTTCAGTGACAACTGAGCAGCTCCACCTGCTGCAGGAGGCTGAATGATGCAGCTGAAACTCCATCAAACTACTGAACAGACTGAGGTGAGACTGTTAATAATGTCAACGCCTTCCATGTGCATGAACGAACTTCAGAGTTACATCACAGCTGATCTCCAGTGGTGCAGTTTTCACCTTGTTGCAGTGATGTGACTCTAACACACTGATGCTATGTCCACACATTTTCAATTTAAAATGCATAATTTCTATTACATGTACGCCTAGAATCCAGACTACTTTGAAATTTCAGACTCTTGGAAAGAATTATTTAAAAAAAACAAAAACAAAAAACATTCCAGGGTTGAGTTTTAGTTAGGTTGCGTGTCGTTTTTAACAATTTTTCAACAACTTCCCTGAGGTACCCGACCAAAGGGATCAATAAAGTTCTACTGAATCTAATCTAACCTTTTACTAGCAGCTGCTGTGCAGTTCAGGAAATCTCTGCTCTTAATTTTCCACTATTACAGTTCTTCCTCAATACAACTAAGCAAACATAAGACAGAGAAAACCTTTATTCTCTCCATGCATGTCAGAAAATGTATTGTAGATCAGCTGTAGTACCTGGTTGAGCCTCTTACTGTTTAATGCTGTAGTGACCAGAGGAGGCGTCACTCAGAGTACAACCAGTTCTGTGTTGGCAAGTACAAAGCATTGTGGGGGGTGTAACTAGCAACAAAGACGTCTGTGATGGTTAATGACCTCCGGCCAGCCTCCTGCTGCTACACCTCGTATCTTCCTTTTCTGATACATGTGTGAGAGCAGATGTAAACAAAAGATCAAGCTTAGATTGCTGATATTGAATCGTGAAAAAAAAAAAATCCCAATCCTTGAGATCAGCTCAGGACAGCCCTAGTTCTCATCTTGAGAAGGCTCTTTTAAAATGAGAAGATTTTAGTGTGGACGTAGCCCGTCTGTTGCTTGGTTGTGGTTACAAGTGTGACAAAACACTCCCTTCACCAAAAGCTGGACTGTTTCAATCAGGACGGGTAACAAAACACTGCTCCTCAGCCTGCTGCCAAGTTCCTCTTTAAATCTCATTTTCAGGGCCAACAAGAACAACAAGTCCTTAAAGTGCAGAGAAAATGGTCGTCCGAAACAGCTCCATCACAGCACTTAAAAGCTCCAGAGCAGTCAGTGGTGGGATTGTTTTGTTAATGGCTGTAAATGAAGACAAAAAGGACAAACTCTGTTCCACCAAACATGTATTTTGTCTTGCTGTTGTTCTGTCAGGCTCTCTCACACATGATGAGGGTTCATGGAGGTGACAGTGTCCTAAATGTGAGCGTACTGAAGCAGACCAGAGTCAGCAGTCTGTCTCTGTTAGTCCACCTGTCTGCAGCTAAACCTGTCTGCGTCACATCGAGGCCCGTCTGTCTGTCAGCATTAGGACTAAGACTCTTACATCATCATGTGGTGGGATATCAGGCCACTAGGGCTCTGCTTTACTGTACTGCAGGAGACTGAGACCTGCTCAGATTGGTCTGCTTTCACATAACAGTGTGTCAGCATGGAGTGGAGAGTCGTCTTAATGTTTAAAACCTGAAAGCTAAAAGTGCTGTGACTGCTTCCTTAAATCCAATGTTTTTGTATGTACACTGTAAAAAAAAAAAAATCCCAAGAAAAAGTGGAACATCTGGCAGCAGGGTGGCAGAAAAAATATGTGTAAAAACAACAGGATGCTGTAATGTTCAAAAACTAGTCTTAATCTAATTTTACATGAGATTATGTGTATTGTTTCCGCCTTTTGGTGTTTAATTAAAGATATTCACACGAGTAACACAAAGAAATTACAGATTGCCGAAGTTATGGATGTTATACAAAGATGAACACACATTCTTTATTTTATTTTGTTGTAAATAGTTCCATAATCATACAAGATATCTCTGATTTATCAAATAGATCTATCAAAATAAATTAACTGTCACTAATTGTTTCTGTTTCCATATAAATATTTCCTGTATTAAGTTTGAATTTAACAGTTTCATGTGTTGAAAAAGTATTTCACACATAGTATTTAGGCAATTTTAATAAATTTGTAAATGTATTTTCACAGTATTTAATGTAAAAAAAATAAATAAATTCAGTTTTCTTTGTTTAGGTTATTTACCATTACAAGGTTTTAACATGATCATAAATAAAACATGTAAATTCACAGTTTATTTTTGTGTCTCTATTGATTTTTTTTGTATTAAAAAAAAAACAACAAAAAAACGAAAATAACAGACTGTTTAATAGTGTAGTTATTATCTGAAGAATCTACGAAATAACAAAAACAAAGAAAACTTTTCTTTTTGTACAGTATGTATGTAACTTGGGGCCTGAACGCATCGTGTGATGGAGCAGATCGTGTGTGATGGAAAATATCACAGTGTAGAAACACTGAGATGAGAAAATGTGTCAGAGAGAAAAACAAACTCATACCAGCGTTACTCCAGAGAGAACCTCCAGCAAGGAGATCAGGTTGTGTCCATCCCTCAGGTCCTCGTACAGGTCTGTGATGTGTTTTCTCACCTGGGAGAGGCAGAGATGGGAGGAGGGAAGAGGAGGAAAGAGGAAAGAGGCAGAAAGATGGAGGAGGAGAAGGGCAGAAAGAAAAAGCATAAAGTTAATTCCTCACTCCAATCATCCCTCTGTTGACTCAACACTGTTGACATCTGTCAGGCCGATTGGCCCACAGCTGACAGGGCTGCTGACAGCGGTTGCCGGGCCGACGGAGACGAGCCACCAGCTGTGGCCTCTCGTCCCTGTTGCCATGACATTGCCTCAACAACGAGTGGGGGCAGGCTGTCACCAGCGGCGACCGCTGACTCGGTGACTCGGCAGCCCAGCCGTCGTCGAGCGATGAGCTGGATTGTGTGAAAGTGGGACACCGAGCGAGATGACGGACAGCCAGCGATTCAGAATAAACAGAGGAAATAACGGATCAGCTGAGCAGTGACCAGTGAGTGAAGCTTTATAAAATGATACATACTAAACCTGCACGCAATCTTTCACACGGTAGTTAATTATTCTTGACTTATTTTTCACTACTAGGAGAAAGCAGAGACACACAATGATGTCGGCGTCATCACCGGAGTCAGCTGACAAAGACTATGAAACTAACATTGACAGTCAGATAACAGCTGTCACAGTTCATAACCACAGGATCCATCATTTCTCAAGTTCTTTTTTTGGCGCTTGTGCCTTCATTTAATAAAGCAGTAGAGAGAGAGAGAGACAGGAAAGTGGGGGAGAAGAATAGGGGAAGGACCTGCGGAAAAGGGCCATGAGTGGGATTCAAACTCATGGCCTCCACATCGGGGATTACAGCCCCTGTACATGGGACACCAGCTCAACAAGCTGAGCTATAGCAGCGCCCCAGGATCCATCATTTCTATCCCATCCATCTCTTCACATTCATTGTCTATGCAAGCAGCCGTGCAACTCATTCTGGTAGCGCCGCGGTACATTTTGAGAGACAGGACGTCAAGCTGCTCACTCCTCATTTACATAAATGTGAGGTCTGGGCTACTTTATGCAAATCAGGGGCCTCCAGTGTGACTCGTCGCCTTTCGAAAGTCCTGAAAAACCTTCAAACTAGCTGCTGTTGATCTAAAACGAAGACAGATTCAGCAGTTGCAGAACTTCATTATTATTCTAAATACTTTCAGAAACACATTTCTGTGAACTGTTTTTGTGATATAGAAGAGAAATTTGGCCAAAACGTCGCCACGTCGGTCCGGTTAGAAATCAAGAGCAGACAGCCCACGGGTCAAGTGTTTATCTAATTGGGTCAGCCAGTGTTTGTGTGGTTGCAGGAGGGTGAAGCCTGTATTGATTTTCTGTTGGAGAGCGCCTGTCAATCAGCTGCTTAGTCGCACCTTCATCAAGGGTCCAGTGTTGGGAAGCAACATGATAAGTTTTGTCCCTTAAAAATGAGTTGAAGAATTAGCGAGTAAGTTGAAGGAGTTTCTTAATTATCTAAGTGAATGTGTTCATTGATCACAGATAGTTTGTTATGTCTGCATCTACCAGTTAACAATCACCAAAAGAGTCATTACAATAACATGCTGACTCCACTACAGGAGAGAGCTGATGTTCTTTGTGATTAGGTGGAAACAACATGTGCATACATCAACATCAGCAATCAGCCAGAATGAAAGGGAAAATATCAGCATATGACATCGCTACAAAAACCCAGTACGGTGCACCTTTAAGAAATGGTGTAATCCGATTACTGTCGACGTTACAGGCCCGGGCCGCCAGAACTAAACTCCAATCAAGCTGCACTGGTTTAAAACCTCAGTCAAACTGTTACTGTGTGCAGCTGTGATGACGCTTGTGTGTTTTTGGTGCTTAGATTGTGGCTGTGATAGAAAACTTGCGGAGCTGTAAATAGTTTTGTTACGTGTATGAGACACTTGTTTGCTGCTGGAGGTTGTTGGGTTTTGCTGGTTCTGCTGGAAACACAAGCTGTTAAACTGAAGTGGAAGTATTCTACAGGTCTAATACTCCTGTACCTGTAGTTTTTGTAAACATAGACGAGGTAAGCCTGTATGAAACTTTTTGTTTATACCCACTGCCCTCCGTCGCTTCTTTTCTACTGATTTGTTATTATTCCAAAAACCTTCCACTCATTAAAATCACATTGAATACAACTGCATCCATCCTATTGTCTATATTTTACTTTTCTTTTGCTGAACAAGCTATATGTCAACAATAGTATTATACAATAGTTTCTCCACCTTTGCTGTCGACCAGAGACTTCAGATTCACAGTAAATACACACTGACCATCTTGTTTTTGCTCTATTTTCTAAAAGAAAATGATTGTATACTTTCTTCCCCACCTGCTTTCTTGTATTAAATAAAGAAAACTAAAGCACAAAACATCCACTGGTGAACTGACGCCTGCTTATATTACAGTTAAAGTATGATTGTTGTTTGCAAGCATAAAAGATAAAGACAATATCTGAAAGCAAAACCTCAGAGCTGAGCAAAATAAATAAAACATGACTTGTCTCTCCGACTTGGACTACTTTCCAACTCTGCAGTGTGACTAAGGCCAGCCTTACAAACTACTAAATGTCTTTAAAAGGCAAAAACAAACCAGGCAGCAGCAACAAAGAGGCCTTTCTTTTGTTTATAAAGAATTTCATTGTCATTTTTCTTCATCAGAAAGTAGGCAGTGGAAAGAAAAGGACGTCGGCGTGCAGTAAAGGTCGAATATTCCTGACAAAAGTGCTTCAAAACTGTTGCTTCGAAACTGCGGAGCCACACAGGCAGAGCAAGGACACATGTCCACCTGCATTACAGAGACTGTCCTGCTTCACACTGCACCTGAAGTTTTACTGCAGTCCTGGCTGGAGGACAAGAAGCTGTGCTGCCACGTTTCACCAGAAGAGGGCAAAACAGGCACAAGAGTGGCCTGAGAGCAGGAGCTTCTTCAGCTCAGCCTCCAAATGATGAAGACATTTAAAATCACCCTCACATGACCTTATGCCGCTCTGTCCTGGTGAAAGATGAAGCATGAACCTCCCCAAGAGGGTCGGCTAAAAACAGTCTCTGGCTTTGAACTGTGGACAAAGATGTACCAACGTTTCTCCTCAACAACCTCTTTTCTAAGTTTCGCCGTCTATTTTTCTCGTCCTCGCTCATCTGTGTCAAACCCTCACCCGGCTGAAAGGTTACATCAGCTGCTTTAGAGAAGAACTGATGGAACAAGTGTTAATGAGTTGACAGGAAGAAGTGATGAATCCACCACTGACTGGAAAAGAGATGCCGTTGTTGTCTAATTGTGTCTCGGTGTGTCAGAGTTAGTGTTTGGGTTCCCAGTCAGCCTGACTGAGAGGATCCTCTGTGTGGGATTATCATCGGTTTACTGGAAGCTCACCGTGTGAATAAAAACCGTCTAATTGAATAATTGGCAGTGATTGAGACAGACGTGGTAGCTGCTACTGATGATGAGGCAGCAGCCTTGATTCTCCTGGAACCACTGGTCCATCAGCAACGTTTAGATCACAAATAACAACAACAAAACCTCGTAAGTGTGTCTCTGCTCAGAAGTGATTCTGATTCAGCGTTCACAGACTGAAGTTAACATAAAGATTATCTACTTGCTGTAACTTTCAGCACAAGATTAGAATTTGGCAGCTATGCCCTTTAACGTCGTCTTCTTGTGCAGCGCTGCACTGCTCCAGGGCTCCAGCCACATTCAGAACATGTTCCAAACACTTTCCTGTTTGTGATTTCACTGTGGACCCCGAACTTGCAGGAAGAACAAACATCAAATTCTGTGTCAAACTGCAATAAGCTTCATGTTGAGGATCATGTTGGGACCACGGCTACAACCCACGGAACCACAGATAAGACAGAACGAGGCACATCAGGAAAGAAGCACAACCAAGAACATGCTCGTCATTTGGTTTGACAGTCACAGGGTTGTGCATCGTGACTTCATCTCCCACAAGTTCTACCGTAACATCCTGAAGCGTCTGACAAAGAACATTTGCCACAAACAATTTTAAATGCAAGATGTACCATCATGCCAACATGTGCAGGTTCACAGCACCTTGAAACACACGTTTCTTGGCCAGAACACCACATTTATGGTTTCCCACCTGCCCTGCTCGCCACACTCGGGTCTCGGTGATGTCTCCCTTTTCATGAAAACGAATTTTAAGTTGAAGGTTTCCCATTTTGCCACAGTTCAGGCAGACAGTTTGCTTACAGAGCAGGGCTTCCTGCTTTTGGAGCAGTGCACAACATGACCACTTCAAAGAAGATGGTGGTCAAATTGAAATCAAGTCAGGTTTTTCTTTTTATAAGCACAGACTTTGAACTTTTTGATTGGACCTTGTAAACCAAACCTGCCTTTAATTCCATCAGAACCCAAATCTACAGTCGACTCCAGTGTTGGATGTTTTTTTAAAAAAAAGCTGCTTAAACAATATCCAGTGCAAAAGTTCTGACCTGTGTGGTGCCACTGAACTAAAATCTACAGCATCCAGATGCATTTGTTCATTATCTGGGTGTTGCTCTTCAGCTGGCTGTCTGCAGGGAAGCTGCTCCCACAGCCAGATGTGTGTGATGTGAAGTGACGGCAGATGTCAGATGTTTCTGGCAGTAAAGAAAACTGTCATATGGAGCTAGAGCTGAAGTCCTCCGGCATCCCGACAGCACCTGGGTAACACTTTCTGCCACACTGAGCACAAATCTGGGTCGGGCTAAATAAAGAAACACCTTTTATCAGCTGTAAGGTACTGTAGTCACACTATGAATAAACATGGTCAAACAGCTACAGCAGGACGGATTAGAATGCTGATTAAGGACCGTTTCAGAGAAGCTGCTGAATGTGATGTGACCTCCATGAGCAGACGAACAAACCTCACATAGTTTGTCTGGTGTTTCAGGAAGGACCAGAAATGTTTAACTGGGATAAATTAGTGTCAAAATACAGCCAAAGGCGAACAAGAATGTACTGGTTTTACAAAATACAGTTTAAAAGTGTAAAACTGCTTTTTAAAAAAACAA